AAGGAAGGAAGGAAAAGAAAGGAAGGAAGGAAGGAAGGAAGGAAGGAAGGAAGGAAGGAAGGAAGGAAGAAAGAGAGAAAGAAAGAAAGAAAGAAAGAAAGAAAGAAAGAAAGAAAGAAAGAAAGAAAGAAAGAAAGAAAGAATAGGACCTTAAGACTTTAAGACCCAGTTCATCCCTCATAAGATAAGGAAGGAGGTTCCCCATCTCAGCTCCACGGTAGGTACAGATCAGAGCTTGCTGGGTGAGAATGCCCACCTCAGAGCTCAGCACACTCCATGTAAACGGATGCAGACACAGGCTATCCCACCTGTGTCTGTATCCTGACCATCTCTGTGAGATGGGAGGTGTCTATTTTAATAACATTGTTGCTGAGTTGATTCTTGATGTTCTGAGTAACCTTGAGGAAATGACATTCTCTTTCTCTGCCTTCCTATGCATGGGGGAGGGGAATGTAAGCATCCGTAACACATTTGCATACATATGGATACCACTTAGCCCTACACAAAAGGAAGGTCCATACACTTTCACTGTAAGAGGTGCCCCTTCTTCATTGGGTACCCCATGTGACTGAAGGTGGAAGATGGACCCTCAGGAGCCTCCAGGGTATGAGCAGAGAAGCCTACATTTCCAAAGGTGGTGGTGTCAGCCATAGCACCTAGCCCATGCTTATCATGGAGGATTTTACTTCTGCAAGATGACAGTAGCAAGCCACCTCCTAAAGACTTAGGGAAGATGCCCTACAGCTTCTAGCCTGCTCCTGGCATCCCCATCCGAACCAAGAAATAACTGCCACGCCAGCGCAGAAGGCAACTAGCAAATGCTCAAGGTGGCTTCTGTTCAAGGCAGGTGAACAGGAAAAAAGAGGTAGTCCCTGCAGGCTCCCTCTCTTGGCCTCGAAAACATGGAAGAATGCAGCTCTTGTCACTTCAGCAAAGACAGGGATAAACTCCTCTCTATTAAGCTGTTTTTCTTTCATCATGAAGGCCACAAATTCTAAACGCTCCCTGACATCTACCTGCTGGCTTCTGTTTCTCTCCCAACTGTGTTCTCAAGGCTCAGAGATGTAAGCCTCTGCAATAGAATGTGTCCACTTTAAGTAGAACAAAAGTTTTCTACATTTACTGAGGAATCCTGAAAATACAAAGGATCTACCAGAATAGGGGCTGCAGAGATAGCTCAAAGCTTAAGAGGGCTTGCTGCTCTTGCAGAGGACCCTAGTTCAATTCCCAGCACCCATGTCAGGTGCCTCACAACTGCCTGTAACTCCAGCTCCAAGGGATACCACACCCTCTTCTGGTCTCCACAGGCACAAATGTATGCACAGATCCATAGGTATATTCACATTTAAAAAAAAATAAAAAGAAATTTTTTTTGTTAAAAAAGTTCTACCTCCCAAATTTATCCTGTCTATAAGAAATGCAGGCACAGGGATGGAGCAGAGACAGAGGGAATGACCAGCCCAACTTCGGCCCCATCCCACGGGCAAGCACCAATCTCCGACACTGTTAATGATACTCTATTATGCTTGCAGACAGGAGCCTAGCATAACTGTCTCTGAGAGGCTCCACTCAGAGGGTGCTGAGCCCAAAACAGATACAGAGCCCCACAGCCAAACATTGGGCAGAGCTCGCGACTCTGAGTTAGGGGAAGGATTGAGGGCCCGGAGGGGATAGGAACTCCACAGGAAGACCAACAGAGTCAACTAACCTGGATCCTTGGAGGATCTCAGAGACTGAACCAACAACCAAAGAGCATACACTGGCTGGACCGAGCCCTCCCTGCACATATGTAACAGGTATGCAGCCTGGTCTTCATGTGGGTCCACCAATAACTGAAGCAGAGCTATCCCTATAGCTGGTGTCTGTCTGTGGACTATACTCCCCTAACTGGGTTGCCTTGCCTGGCCTCAGTGGGAGAGGATGCGCCTAGCGCTATAATGAATTGATGTACCAGGGTTGGGGGATACACAGCAGGGAGTGCACCTCCTCAGAGGAGAAGGAGAGGGGGGATGGGAGGAGGAACTGTGTGAGGGGGGACCGGGAGTAGCGGCCGTGATCTGGATGTAAAGTAAATTTAAAAAGAAAGTTCTACCAGAATACAGATCATGTTGTACGAATCCAGCTTCCCTGGCCCTGTTTTAATCTATTTTTCCAAATTGAATTCATCATTTCATAATATTTCCCATATACTGACTATCTGGCATGACACACACTGTTAATCACTGAAATGACTAATCCTTCATAGAAGACCTAGTACCATGCGTACCACCAAAGGGACAGTGACTGAGACATGGGCGTCTATACATTCTAGAGAAAGGCACGAGACAAACTTAAACACCCTCTCCTACCCCATATCTGAACTTGAACTTTTATAAAAAATAATAATAATAAGCCAAAGGCCCGGTCATTGTAGAGAGACCTCAGAGGACATGCATACCGAAGTGACATCAATTTACTAGCGTTAAAATATTAATGGTATGTGCCTCCATGAGAACCGCTGCTTCCATTCACACCAGATCAAGTTCATGATGTCAGTGGGTCTCTTACAATTTCAGCCCGTCTCCCACTGGAATCCATGGATTTTTACATAGCTATTTATAGAACTCGTAGAAAATAAATTATACATGACGCTAAGCCTATGGGGAGAGAGAGTGCACATTAATGCATTATTTCTCTTTGCATTTTCATCAGCCCTGAAACACGGGTGGGAACAGGACAATTAGGATGCGCAACTCACTCCCTCTAAGGAATTCAGCGAATTATCCACCTAACATGGGATCATCGATGGGTAACAGGAATCTCTGCCTGGTTAAAAATAGACTTGAAGGGGAGGGTGTGGAAGAATTGTGATTAATCTGAATTGCTGAGGCAGCGGGGTGATGGCTGCCTGCTCATTACTCTCCTCTACAGAGGAACAGCATGCTAGCAACGCCATCCTATCTAGGGCCAAACAGAGATCTGAGCTAAGAGAAAGAATCCACAGTAAGGAAACCATAAGGTGACCCTGAGCACGCTCTCTCAATCTCTCTCTCTCTCTCTCTCTCTCTCTCTCTCTCTCTCTCTCTCTCTGTGTGTGTGTGTGTGTGTGTGTGTGTGTGTGTATGTTTCTGCCTGCCTGTCTGTCTTGTCTGTCTGTCCTGTCTGTCTGTCCTGTCTGTCTGTCCTGTCTGTCTCTATCTCTCCAGGAGTCTAGTCCCCACTCTCCAGGCATCCTCATACACACCCTCCAAAGTCTTTGGTAAAGCCCCAGAGGCCAGGGCTTGATGTGAGCAGAAGACAGAAGAGTCATACCTCATAATTTATTGAGGGTATGTGGCAGGGACAGTACATTGGAACAGGGGTAGGGTGTCCATGAGCCTTAAGGTAAAAGAGATAGAACACTCAGCGAGATCTCACCTGAAAGCCTCCTGTGGGCTTTGCAAAGGAGTAGGAACCTTGTTGGCAAAGACAAATAAACCCAAGAGATATGGTCCAAATGTGTTAAAGTACTCACACTGCCCTCATGGATTCTTAGACTCAGACCTTGGCTGTTCTAGTTCCAGACTGTCTCTTTCCCAGTGACAATTCTCAATCCCAGAATGGGATTAGAACCATCCAGAAGGCCTTGAGGGCAGAAATCCCGTTGCTGTTGTTGTTGTTGTTGTTATTGTTGTTGTTGTTTATTATAAATGATGCTCTGTTCCCAGAGTGTTCAGTTTCTATAAACCCATGTCATCTTCTCAGAGACAGACAGTGTGACCAGGTGCAAAGGGGATGATGGGAGATGCCAACCTCACTGTGGAGTTTAGAGAACTCTCAAGAATGGGATTGACGGCAAGGCGGAGAGGAGCCTCAGATAGCTTCCTATGCACTTAATGTCAAATGGTCTTGAGTGACCATTTCTGTGCAAATGTCATTGACCATGACCTCTGATTTATTGTCCTGATAGCATAATAAATAACCTCATAGTAGCCTGGCAAGGGCAGCTGCCAATTACACAGCTGAATAGCCCCAGCTCTAAGGTGAAAGGCAAGGCTACTTCCTTGAAACTTCCAGTTTCCCATAAGAGAGCAGACCTTGTGAGTTTTTCCAGCTGCAAACACACCCAAGCACATGCACACGAATTCAAACACCTGAAATTCATTTCTACTTGGCGGCTTTCAGCTTATTTGTTTGGAAGGTAGTAGCATATTTTGGCCTAAATACAGTATTTTGTTCCTTGGGATCTTTATGATTTTTGCGTTTCTTTAACCGTTTTTCTGAGTTCTCTTGGCATGCCTTCAGGCTTTGTAGATAGCAACTCCCAACCTCACCGTTTATTTCCGCAAACATCTAGAAAGCTGGCTACATACTGTGGATTGATCCTCCTTCCTTGAAAAATCTGGCTTCAGAAGTAGTGGAAACCTGCTTTAACCTCTCAACTGGAGGCACCCCTCCCCCCACCCGCTACCTGCAGGGCCGTGGAGGGAGTCAGCATCTTAATTTTATTCCATAACCTCAAAAATGTGGAAATGGAAACCCCGAGGTGGGCTCTGAAAAAACAAAGCCAAGCCACCTTTACAGTTCCCCCTCGAGGTGACTGTTTTTCTTTGGCAAGCACTTGTCAAGGTATATATTCTGTTTTGCCACTGGCTATAATTTCCCTAGTTATCTCGTTCTACTTGAAATGGAAAATAATTTGTAGATATAAAAATCTGGTATTAAACTTACAGAAAGTATCATCTTACTAGATGATAAATAAAAAGCCTGTGACAGTTAAAATACCCAGACCCCTCTGCACTGGCTTTCCACGAAAGTCAGACCAGGCCTGTCTGAAGAGAGTCCTCATGCCAAATTCTCAATCCTGCATTTTAATCTTTAAAGACAGACAGACAGACAGACAGACAGACAGACAGACAGACAGTCTGGGAGAGCTAGCTTAGTCAGAAAAGTATTTTCTGTGTATGAAGACTTAAATTTTCTTCCCCAGAACACACATAAAAAAATTGGATGTGGCCAGGCAGTGGTGGCGCACGCCTTTAATCCCAGCACTTGGGAGGCAGAGACAGGTGGATTTCTGAGTTCGAGGCCAGCCTGGTCTACAGAGTGAGTTCCAGGACAGCCAGGGCTACACAGAGAAACCCTGTCTCAAAAAACCAAAGGGGGTTGGTGGGGGGGGGAGGTTGGATGTGGTAAAATTCACACAAAGCTCAGTGCTGGAGAGGCAGAGACAGGCAGAGCCCTGGGTCTCACTAACTATCCAGTCCAGCTGAATCAGCAGGTTCCAGACCAATGAGAGATGCTGCCTCAAAAAGCAATCTTGAGGAATGACACCCAAGTTTGGCCTCTGGCATCCACATACCCATGCGCGCACACAAGAGCACATGCATGCACTCGGATATACAAACACACAATTAGAAGGAAGAAACAATACTGGAGGATTTGAATTTTGCAAAGAATCAAAATTAAAACAGGCTTGGTGGAAAAAAACACTTGTGATACCTGGCCCTTGGGAGGTTGAAACAAAACAATTGCCTCAACTTCAAGGCCAGCTTTCTCAGTATAACAAGAAATCAGGCCAGCCTGAGCTACGTGGCAATACCCTATCTCAAAAGGGGGAGAGGTTAAAAAAAAAATTAAAACTAAATCCAGTGCAACAAACAAAATCCTTCCCAACTATTGAGATGTTCTCCAAACCACACTGATTCATCTTCTTAAACATTTAACACGATTTAGTGTGTGTGTGTGTGTGTGTACATGCATGCGTAAACTCATGTATACCTCAGAAGACAATTGGTTGAGAGAGTCTGTTCTCTCCTTCAACCACATAGGTCTCAGGTCAACAAACTTGGTGGCAAACACCTTCACTCAATGAGCCTCAGTGTCAGCCCTGAGTCATTTCTTTTAAAATCCTTACACTTTCTCTAAAGTGATTTTTATAGAAAACATTTATATTCACTTTCCTTCGTATGAAGTTGACAGTCTACAAGGCAAACAAAGGGTTGTTCTACATGCCCACCTCTGAGGACGGAACTCTGCCTACCTGTGGTAGTACACTCATAGTCAAAGCTGGTTACATCATTGAGTTTCTTCTCCTGGTATTCTGGTGGACCGATACACAGCACATCAGACACTGTGGAATTTGTCATCTTCAGCCATAGATACAGCCATTTGGCTTTGCAGTCACATTCAAATTTATTACCCCTTAAGTCTCTGAAATACAAAACACACATGCATACACAGGGAAGCAGACATATCTGATGTGTTTTGGTAGTAATATGAAACACTGGAGTCATCCATAGCCTGATAGATCTAAAACAATCCATATATGAAATTTAAAAAAAAATAGTTGTATTTCATGGATCTTATTTCTTGTATGGATGGTTGTCTTTATTGAATATTCCTTGACGCAGAGGTCTTAGTTGAATGGCATACAGAGAGTTCTCAAAAATGAGACATCAGCCCTCTTAAAATGGCCTCTGCTGGAAGTGGGAAGGGATGAAAGAAAACTATCCCAGTATAGGTTCCCATAAATGAAAACAGGGACGTGATAGGAAGACAGTGTTCACAAATACAACAGGAACATTCAGGGCCTTGTTAAGCCACATCCAGTAAGATGTGCTATGGTCACGATGCTTCCAGTGAAATTTCAGAAGGTAAAGCAGGTAGATAGACTACACAGAGACCAGCCAGCCAGCATGCCTAATTTACTATTGGACACAGGATACAGTATCTAATGGCTGAAATCAACACAAGACAATACACATGCTGTTTCTCAGTGTGTACTACTTTGTGGTCAACAGTCAAGAGCAAAGGGATTTGAAAGACATCATTGACTAGGGCCTGTGGCAGTAGACACAAATTTAAATTGCATTACTCACAGTTCAATCAGGGAATCCAGATCGCTGAACACGTCCCTTGGAAGTGCTTTAATGTGGTTGTTGGCCAAAGAACTAGAAAAAAAAAGTCATATTTAAATGTGGTTACTACCTTCCTGCCAGTCATTCTGAAGTCCCTTTAAGTACATCTAATGATTCAAGAAGAGTTCTAAGCCTCCTCATCAAAATAGGGCTCAATCCATAACTTGACCATCACTGAAAGACACAAATTCCATTACACAAAGGCAACTGGATTCCAATGTAAGCTTTTTTCGCTTTGAAAATAAGCACTCTATTAAGTAAGCTCTTTATGCACAGCTATTAAACTATAGTTGGCTTCCGTAGTTTCTAGAATAAAAGCCAAGGTCCTAGGCCAGGTCTAGTGGAGCAACACCTTTAATGCCAACCCTTGGGGGGGCAGAGGGAGGTGGATCTCTGTGAGCTTGAGGCCAGCCTGGTGTACATAGTGTGTTCCAAGCCAGCTTATCTTATCTTCAGAAACGGGAAAGGAAAAAAAGTAAGGTTTCATTTCATAGCATGTAAGACTCTCCATAGTCTAAGAACAGCCCCATTAGGTGAGACTGCACCGCCCACTGCTCTAATCCCGCCATATAGGAATCTCTGTCATAGCTCCTTGGTCTTGATTGGAAGATTGTCATTTGCAAACTATGTTTTAATTGTTTGCTTCTGGACTGTGTAATTTCTCAACACAAAAGCAGCACACAGAGACTGCTATCTGTCCATGGTTTTATCCTATCCCTAGAACGGGGCACACCCATAGGAAGTTGTGAAACTTTTGCAAAAAAGAAGATGGATATGCTATTTTTTAAAAAATGAATGAATGAATGAATGAATGAATGAAGCATCAATCTGAGACAAACAACAGAAGATGCACAATCCTCCTCTCCCAAGAAATCCTCTTGTGGTCCATCCAAGTGTGTGTGATCATCTGTGCTTCTGAAATGAACTCAGTGAACAATCTTTTACATGGAGACATTCTGCGCTGACACATCAGGATAACAATAAAATCTCACTGAAGCAGCGTGCTTAGCGAAGAACTGACTGTGATCAATTTCATCTTCTCCTTAACCGAGGCTGATGAGAAATCATTTCCCTGTTTCTTCTTAGGGTTGCAGAGGTTTCTGAGATGCTAGTCCACACCCACCTCCGGCTAGAGGAGAGGTTTGTTGTGAAGAACCTCAGTTTCCAGAAATTCCGGATTCTGCAGTGCTGTGTTGCCAGCCCGCTGAGGATGGATGGCCACAGTGCCCTGCTGCTGTGGGAATGCTGAGTGGAAATAATGTGCACCAAGTCTGTGGTTCCCCAGAGACTCAAGTAACACGGTCAGGAAATGTACTCCTTCCTCTAGAGTTTTCTTCTATGCATGAGTACAAATGGCAACATGTATAACTGGTAAACATGTAGGTGATTTTTAAAAATGTATGAAGTTAGTCATACTCAGTCATAGCATGGTCATGGCCCATTCCAGAATGGACAAATGGATGAGCACTTCTGTTTACAGTCAGTTGGGTGTCGTAGAAAGCATAAGCCCATTTTTACTGCAAACATTCTTCCTTCAAATACTGACTGAGACTGGGGAGAACAGTAGTTTCTAATTATTCTCCTTCCCACTCAGGCAACCATAAATGGATTAGACTACCATTTCTTGTGCTTTCTTAATGAGGTACTTACACATTTTTTGATGTGTTGAGGAATAAGCTGATTATATAATCACAAAGAACATATGCTGGGGGGTAACTTTTGGAAATTTTAAAGGGGGTGTTTACTTTGATATAGGAAGCAAAGCACAAAAAAAACTTTAGCGAAATATCCTGTTAATTGTTCCACTCTTTTTAAAATGTGGCTACCCGGAAGCTGTTGCATTGAAATGGTAATAATGTAACAATATATAGATTGGTCAAAGAAAACCAGCCAAACAAACAAACAAACAAATATAATTTGCAATTGCTCCAAGTTTGTAATTTTGCTTTCATAAGCCAGCCCTATTTTTATGAGCTATCTACCCTACCCAGACTAAGTGCTTAACATATTCCTTTTAATTTTATTTTGTCTACAAACCCATAGCACTGACTTCATTTCTCAAACTATTTAATAGCTTCCTGTCCCCTGGGTTCTATAAGAGTGCTGGAAAACAAATGTCCTAGATTTTAGTTACAGATTGGCACTGCTCCCTCTGCTTTGGAACCCAACCTGTGTTTTAATATGAATGTGGGTATCTAAGTGTTGGGAAAGTCCACAAAAGGCCAACATCGAACATCTCATTTAAGTGAGAAGATTCTGGGTAGTGACTCCCTTAAGCAAGTGATTTCTGGAATGGAGGCTTTCTTGCATGAGACGTTTAAAGGGGAAAAGGGGACAGTTCCATCTATAAACAACGTGTATGTTCTGCTTGCAGCCTGTGATCAATAGCAACGGCCCTCCTTCCTTCCCACGTTTTGAGACCCACACTTATCTGCTTCAGTTGCTCTTCTCCAGGCAACCACATCTGTCCCTCAGCAGTCTCTATCTAGATATTCAAATAAGCAAGGAAATTTAGCCATCCAGAGAGAAAACCAAGACTTTTTAATGACTGGAAGGATAAGATGATACTGTCATTGAGGAGAAGGAAGAGGAAGAAGAGGAGAAGGGAGAGGAAAATGATGATGAAGATGATGATGATGGTGATGGTGATACCAGCCAGACCCTGGGCATTGGCATCTACTATGGAGAACAGGGCTGCAGTCTTTGGAGCCAAACATCATTAACCCATTATGTGTATCATATTGTCCACAGTCAGTATAATAATGCCTATCCTGTGAAGGAGGAAACTAAAGGTCAGAAAAGCTAAGTAAAATCAATACGTAATCACTGGGATGTGAACCCAGACCTGAAGTCTCAGTTCACAGGAACTAAGGACTACAGCAAATTGGTTGACTCTGTATTTCCATAGAAAGAGAAGAAACCCAAGAACAATGTCGTCAACAGGGCGCATGTTCTTCTCTGCACCGTGCTGACAATTGTTTTGATTCCCCCATGGTCACTCGCTACCTCCTTACTCTCCAGTCTCCAGCTCAGGCAGGGAGTCTGCTTGGTGGCCCCAGATCCCAGGCTCACTGTGCCCACTAGCAGGTGCCTTCACCAAGACTGTTACAGATTAATGAGAAGACTCTTTGTTGTAGTTTTTCAAGACAGGGTTTTTCTGTATATCCCTGGCTGTCCTGGAACTCACTCAGTAGACCAGAGTGGCCTCAGAGATCCACCTACTTCTGCCTCTGAGTGCTGGAATTAAAGGTATGCACTACCACCACCCGGCAAGAAGACTTTTTTTTAAATGACTATGCCCTTACACTATGGTCAGTGTTATACTTAAAGATACCACCACCCCTGACCAGCACCTAGATTTGATGCTCTCCAGTTTCTCCAACTCTCCTTTTTATTGTAGATAAGGTGACTATGGATATATAGGACCTATCAGCTTCCTCAGACAAAAATGATTATGCAAATGAAGCCCACATCTCAGCTAATAAATGCCATCTGCCATGACAATGATTGGTTTTGCATTTTCACAAACACAGCCATTATTTTTTCCAATCTTATTAACTTTTCTAAGTGTGTGTACTTGCTTCATTCTGATATGCCAATCGATTCCTTTTTCCCCTTTTGGTCTCAGGTACGCTATTAAGGAATTGGAGCACTTGGCTGAAACTACAGATTAATCCAATATAAAAGAAAAGGCAACTTTCATCTTACAGGGAGGACACTTGATGTCTCTATAGCACTTTGGTGATGCCTTTTGCTGTGTTTCTTAAGTCTTAGTTCCCAATTCTGTAGAATGGGAACTCAAATTATCATAAAACACAGGGAAGGCCTATGAGTACCAGGCCTGGTACCTGGTACCAAGTGGGTATAAGAACCATGCCTCTATCCCCCTTCCTCCATGAACACATGGCCCACACAGCACTGAAGTTTTCCCACTTCACATGGAGTCATCTGGTCCCCATGGTGACACAGGATGATAGAGACCAATATGCAGTTGGTCACCCTAATGAGTGCTACTGGACAGCATAGGAATCTCTTAGGCAATCTGGATATGAGTCTCCTGTGAGAGATGTTGTGAATATGGAAACATGGAAATAACAAAGAAAAACAACTGTGTGTGTGTGTGTGTATGTGCATGTGTGTGTTCATGAACATGTGTGCACATGTGTGTGTGTGTGTGTGTGTGTGTGTGTGTGTGTGTGTTTGTATACATGTGTGCACATGTGACCTCAGGAGCCATCCACCTTATTTTTTTGAGACCAAGTTTCTTCCGGGATCACTGCTGACTGTCCAACAAGCCATGGGAATCCTCCTGTCTCTGCTTCCCCAGCACAGGAATTTCGAATATGTACCACGATGCCTGTCTTTTCACATGGGATTTGGAAAACAGATCAGAGGCCTTGGTCAGCCCGTACAAGAGAGTTCATAGGACTTACAGGTGAGTCAGGTCACGGAGGCCCCGAAAGGCATTTCTTGAAATGGTTTCTATTTTGTTCCCTTCTATGAACCTAAGGAGAGAAGCAATATAACATAACTGAATTCCCTCACCTTAACATCTCTAACAGATAATAATACAGTGTGCTTTGACAATAAAATCCGAAAGCACTCATGAGCCGAGCATGTGAGCAAGAACACGCGCTCTCTGCTCCAGCCAGCTCAGCATGGGTGTCTCCAAATTCAGAGCTGGCAACACGGGCAATCACATCTTGGGTTTGAGCAAGGAAGAAGAACTTACTGCACTAAGGCCAGAAATTCCCCCATCTCTGCAACACTGGAAAGCTTCCAGGCAGTCTCCCAGCTTTCTCTTACATTACCCTATGCCTTGCTATCCATACTTTTGTTAATACTGTAGTCCCTAGAGGAAAGTCCATTGTTTTTACATCTCTGTATTTTAGTTTTTGCTGAGGAAGAGTTCCATTAAGCGTGGCTTCCAGAAACCTTGAGCTCATCCTGTCCTACACTGCCTCATATCTGGGCAAATGGTAACAAGATAGGAGTGTTCTCAAGCTCTGGACAAGGCTGAGAAGCAGAAAGGGCAGTATCCGGAGCAAGGTCTGAAATGGTACAGGGCTTGTGCAGAAACCTTGTAGCAATGACACTGACTAAGCCAGAAACTCTCAAGATATGACAAGGATACATTGTAACTGTTCTCCGGGGCCAAGAAGCTACGTCAAATGCTAGCCGGTCTTTGATGAGATGGTCCACAGGGAAAGGCTTTGCTACATCTGTGACACAGCTGATGAGTTAGGTCTCACAGGGAGCATTCTCTGATGCCTGTTTTTAAAAACTCTGCTGTCTGTTTAGCACTAGACTTTAGCATACCCTGATAAGCTGCCTTTCTCCCAGGGCAGCATGTGAACTCCCCACCAGAGAAAATCCTAAGTACCCCACAGCTATTCATGGGCTTTTGGGTGACCCTGGTGACTTCAACCCTGCAGCTGTGACACTCTTTGCACATCAAATACATGTCAAAATACCGGATTATAAGAGGGTTCTCCGGAGAAAGAATTCCTGGGGAGACATCGTTCCTGAGAGTTCATATCAGCAGAGAGCTTTTTCTACCTGGGATGTGTCTAGAATTCCAACATCTACCTGTTCACCTCAGATAAGACAGCAGGAACAAGGCTTTGCAAATCCTCTGAATGCTAAGCAAGGAAATCCCAAACTGATAGCAGGATTAACGTTCTTACAGACTTACCAAATACAAGGCTAGGACAACTTAAGGGGAAAGAGAAAGGTTTGACTGTGAGAAAGGCTGAAATAAGAACCACAGCCAAAGGGGGAAATGGTACATCTGAAGAAGGAAAAAGAATTCCCTCTCCTGCTTTCTTGTTGTTATGGTTTGGTTTGGCTTTTCATTTTTAGAAAAAGGAAAAAATCTAATTAGACCTTCAGTACGACTCACAGGAGACAGAGCAAATGGGATACGGGACAGCTGGATAAAAACCAGGCAGTTTACCCCCAAATAGGGAAACTTTGTTTAAAAATACGTAGCCCCCAGAACCGTCCAGCTCTATTTCTGGTCCATCAGCAAATCTATGCCTAGTTCTGGAGGTAAAAATATCCAACGTGATTTCCAACTGTGCTTGTTACACGACAAATTAAAGATCATCAGAGAATGAATGAATGAGTGTCTCCCCTCCTGGGCTTTGTCTTCAGCCTCCTCCTGACCTAGCATGCAGGAAGTAAGTCAACTCACAGGTCAGTGCTGGCATGAGAATGGCTGCCCCACTATCCCCAGCACAGGATATAACTCAGAAATCTCCCAGAGGCAACAAACTTTCAGCAGACCCCACACAACACTTACAGGTATTCAAGATGAAAGAGGCCAGCAAAGGCATCATCTCGGATCACTGTGAATGAGTTAGAATTCAGCAACCTGAAAACAAGACAGGTTTTAACAGAGATGGCATAGTGCTGTCATGTGAGGAAGCCATTTCTTGTTCTTTTCCTAGGTGATGGTCCCTCTGCAAATGAGAGCTATTCTCAGTCTAAGGACAACCCCTTAGGTCCCTGGTGTCCTCACCACTGTGATAGGGCAGCAAGGAAGGGACTGTCTGCTGTCTCTAATACTACCTGTCTCACTCCTGGAGGATCTTATGAACTGATGGCACAGTTTTCTACTAGACACAAGGCAGCCAATAAATACTTCATGATACCTAAGAAACCATGGAATTACAGACCTGCAAGGACCTAACACAATTGTATTCTAGAGATATTTGAGCCCCAAGAAGATATGAGACTTGACTAAAGTCACACAGTGGCAAAAATCCTTTCTACCACACTGTACATTCTTATGAGAAATAATCATTTTTAAACGGTTAAGAAATCTCTAGAAGATTATCGCTATATAGTTTTCAATTTGGGTAGCTAGGCAAATCCATTTGATAAATATTGATAAAACCACCTATGTTTATTTGACGAACTAATATCTATGCTATATTTCTACTCTAAAAGATTTGAGATTTAAGGTTATGTATGTGTGTATGTATGTATGTATGTATGTACATATGTATGTATATATTGCTAAGTTGTATGTCCAAAGACATATCTAAGGGCACAAGTGTGCCACAACATATATGTGAGGTCAGAGGATAATTTGCTGGAGTTAGTTTATTCCTTCTATCATACAAGACCCAGGGATCAAACTCAGGTCATCAGCATAGCAGCAAGCACCTTTGCCTACTGAGTCATCTTGCTGGCATACGAACTGGGATTTTTAGTGGTAAGTTTAATGTTAGAGTAGGTATACAGCATATTAAAAACAAAACTAACAATGACAACTTATTGTGGCTAGGTAGTGATTTGTATCTCTGAACTTTTCTACAGTGTGTTGATTGCTGTAGGTATAGTCTCACTATATCCAAGAAATACAGTAAGAGTCGGTGCTATATATTGGCAACCACCTGCTGGTCTTTGTTTTGTTTGTGTAGTACTAAGGAAGGAACCCAGGGCCTTCAGCATGGTAGGCAAGTGCTCTACCACTGAGCTACGTACCCTCCACACACATATAACCCGAGCCTAGTGACATGCTTTCGAAAAGTGACTTTGGGACATAAATTTTCATTATCATACTGATCATATTTCATTATCATTATCATCAACTGACTTGGGTTTCGGGGCCCTACATCGTTCACCATGGCAACTTGGATGTGGTTTCCTAAGAGGAGCTGGGGCAAACATAGCTTTGGGCTTTGGGTTTGGATCCTGACTCTGCGAATCAAGGCAAGAAATTTATCTTTCCTGAGCATCAGTTTCTTCATCTGTCAGATGGGAAAACCAAAGTACCTTCCCTGAAGACATGCCATGCCGGTGAGATTAAAAACACGCATACCTGTACGGCTTGCATGTGAGACAAACTGGAAATGCTCCTATGCAAAGAGCAATATCAGGAATTTTTTTTTAAGATAAGTTTCTTTTTGAGGGGAGATGTTTGAGGTGACAGTCTGGTTATGGTCAATGCAGCTACCTCCCAATTACCTGATCTGTGATTGGGATCTACCACAACTACCACAAGTCCCAGTGGAGAAGTTGGCATAAAGTTGGGGAAGGCCCTAGAACAGGAGAACAGTGGCTTAATGTGGACACTCTAGGACAAACTAAAGCTAAGAGCCAGCCAGGGTGACTTGGAGGACTGTTGACTATAGGAAGACCCACACCCATGAGTCAGAGAGTACCCTTCAAGAACCGTACTTCAGGGACCCCCAATACTCACAGCAGCTGTAGGGAAGGCAGATGAGAAAACATTCGGTCCTTGATTTCCAGAAATGTTCCATTTACTAGACTCCTACGGGCAAGAGAGGGACAGAGTGAGGCCCAGGGTTCTTTCAGGAAGTGCCAAGCCAAGTGGGCAGTTGGCATTTCCTCCACCTGAACTTCACACTCCTCCTCTCTGGGGTGAAGATTCATGTGTTTGACCATTGTCCTCCCAGGGAGCAAAGTGAGGAGAGTTTCTTCCCAGTATACTTGATCAATAGGAAAACTAGTCTGGCTGACAGATTCCTGTGCTATGGGTCTGGCTCCTTGCACAGACATTAGCTCAGTCAGCTTAAATCAATTCCCGAGCTTCCTTCACTTAACTACAGGAGGCCTCAGCTCAAGGTGGATAATTACTTCACCCAGGATTCTGTTTGTGCAGACACAAAGTTAATGTTGGCCCACAAAACTCTGGGGTAGGATTAAGCATTCCCCTTGGAAGCAGGAGTCTCTGAAAGACACTCAGAGCACTTCTGACTAAATGCACTGGGAAAGCCTTGGGGGAAACTCAGAGACACCTGAACTTGCCCAGGAAGGGAGAGGCAAGGCCATCTGCCAGATAAATGGTCAACCCCAGGAAAGAAGCTTGGCTGTTTCTGCCTCAGGGTCTCCTACTCTTTCTGGCCACAGCAGGACTTCCATACATTATTGGAGTTAACATGCAGAACACTTCAGCTTTGATCACAGCCAAAGGGTTTAACAAGAGAATTTCTAGAATCCTCCATGTGATCTAATTTAGCAATAGTAAGAGTCAAGCAGGCCTGCTGTTCCCCACAGCCAAACTCTTCCAACTTTTTACAAATGTAAACAGGACCTGGACCCTCTCCCTCCCTGCTCGCTGATGCTTTTTTTTGCCTTGAAGAAGCACAAGACTGATGACAAGCCGGAGAAGGCACAAGCAACATGATACCCAGGACTCCCTGGCCCTCAGGATTCCCTCCCTCCTCTACACTTGCAGGGGTATCCCAGCACCTCAACCTGGAATAAGGAACTATCCTAGCAAGAAATGTCCCAGCAGTAAATATAATGCCCTCAGGTCCCTTCCATAGCAACATTGCACCATTGCCACTGTGTGAGACCTAGTTGAAAGTGCTTAGCAAGTGGACAGAGAAATCTCTCTGGTTGGCTCTGTCAGTGCTGATAATACAACCCACCATGGACAAAGGTGGCAAAAGAGAGGCCCTCTTGAACTCAAAGCAAGAAGTTGGGAGGCTATCCTCGCTAGGGGCTCAGCTGGACACCATATACGGTAAAGCACTTAGAAGCCCTCTGGGTTCCCCCTCTGTAAACCACGTGGAGCAACCCCTTCACTTCCAGAAGCTGTGTGCCTTTGCACAGGCTAGGCATTTCCTAGCCTGCAGTGTGGAGAGGTCAGGAGGGGGCCAACCTCCCAGCATAGCTGAGGCCCGCTGCGGTGAGGCCTCACCCATTCCTAATTAGCTGCTCAATCCGGGCGCGTACAGCTGCTCTCCAGTCACACACCCACCCACTCAACAACACAAGAGAACCACTCAAAACTTTAAGGTACCCAAAAGATCACGCCGTGGCCCGAAATACAGGCTGTGGACTCTGGTGCAGAGACCCTACCCCACGGTGGGCCCTGGGTCTGCAGTAGCATCAGCTCCCCCAGGTAGGTCTGATGCAGGTGGCCTCGGGCCACAATGAGAAACTGTCACGCGGACCTGTCTGGATTCCCGTACTCTGGGGTTTACAGTCCCCTAGCCTCCACTCCACACAGATTCCACCCACGTTCCGTGCCCCCAACCCAAACGCAAAGAAAGGGACTGAGGAGCAGGGTCAGGTGGCGCTGCCCCAGCACCAGCCGCAACTCCTTGGTGGCGGCCGGCGCAGGGCAGGGCGGGGCGGAAATGGAGGGGTCCCACTCACAGGGAGCTGATGTCGCCAGGCACGATCCTAGGCACCCAAGAGGAGCCCACGCAGATGATGGACTCCTTGGTACAGCTGCAAGTGGCGGGGCAGCGCGCCAACCGCCTCACCTGCGCGCTCGGCGGGATGAGGCACGCGGCACTCAGCAGCAGAAGCCCCAGCGCCCCGCTGCCTCTCCGTAGCGCCATGCCGGGTCCCCCGGTCCCCGCCCGGGCGCGGACCCCCGCAGCCGTCGCCGCCCCGCGCCGCGCGCTCGGACCCAGCGCCGCAGCAGACGCGGGTGCCGCTTGCCGATCGGCCGCCAGCGCTGCTGGCGAGGACGCGGGCGCCGCGGGTGTGGGAGGCCGAGCCGCAGCCGAGCAGCATGCTGGCCGCCACCCCCACTCGGCGCCCCCCCACCCGCGCCCGGGCTGCTGGGCGGCCGCCGCACCCGCCTCACCCGCGCTGGCCTGACATCAGCACCCGCGCCCGCCGCGGGCCGGGACCAATGAATAATGCACGCGGGGGCCCGCCCCGCGGGGGAGGGGGAGGGAAAAGTTGGATGACCTTGGGGGAGGGGCCGGCTGTGGCTCAGACCCCCCTGGGATGCTGGCTAAGCTTAGCAGGAGCAGGGACCCCCCCCCCCCCCCGCAATCCTTCTGTGGGCTGCAAAGAATTTCAGAGACAGTGGATTCCTTTCTACAGGGTCAAAACGTGAGCATTCTTCCACGCAAAAAAAAAAAAAGTAAATAAATAAAAATTTAAGTAGAAACAGTAAATACTGGAGCCTCTACATCCCAAGAAAAGTAGGAGTGGGGAGCACTGTCTTGACCTGGGAGAAAGATCTCTGTCCCCGAGTGCCTCGAAGAGACCAGATCTTAGTGCAGAATTCATTTATCTTAGAGAGGACCTAAATGACTTAGGGTAAAGGGGCCCGACTGGGCCACTTTGGCTGGCCGACCGTGTTACTGTGGGATCTGTGTCTCCACTACACCTGAGCTCACTAAAGCCAAGCCACCTTCCCTTGCCCTAGGAAACTAGACTCGCAAAACTGCTACAGCAGGGAATCCACTGCTGTGCTCCTGGGCCTTGCAAGAATACATCCTGAGAAAAGTTTCCCTGGCTCAACACAGTAGTCTACGCCCCACCCCCACCCCCTGATTAAATGATGGGGGACACAGATTGTTAGGAGAGACAGAGTTGGTTGCTCTGAGCACTGGGCCTTTCATCTCCTAACCCTTAGCAGATGCTATCCATCTTCCAGAATTTAACTGATGAGAAAACTGAAGCCCAGGAGGCCTGGGTAGCTGTCGAGTCTGGTTCAACAGTCAACACCAAAGAGAAAGCCTGAAGCCTGAGATGGGGATTTGTAACTGGCCCAAGGGAAGCCCTTTTTTACTCCTGGAATTTGTCTTAAGGAACGTGAGTGTAAGGTAGTGTACTTCTGGGGTTGGAGGGAAATGCCAAGCAGAACAAAGCATCGTAGATCCCCACCCCACCCCTGCGACTGCTCTGATCTCCGACCTGTCCATCAGGCTAACCTGGGCAAACCATTCTGATGTTAGGACACACATGAAACAAGTACAGCCAACGCAGAAATGAAAACTCATCGACGCTGTCTCTTATTCCCGAATCATTTTAGCACAATTCAATGGGGGGGGGGGGATATCTGGGTGTCCACTATGGGAAAGGAGAAAAATAGTCCCTATAGGCAGGAAACTTCAGTATAGCTAGGCAGATAGCACAGCAGAAAGACCTTCCTATAGTTACATGGATATGAGACTGGCCAAAGGACAGAAAGTAGGCTGCTACTTTGGCACATTACGAAAGAGTAAGACAGGGTCTTCATTACTTTTCCTGTTGCTATGATAAAATACCCTAACAAAAACATCACAAATCAGCTTGATAGTGGCACTATCTAGCAGAGATAGCCAGGGCTCAGCCTCAGCATGAGTCAGCAGGTGGGACCAAGAGGGACTCCAAAAGATGGTCTCGGCTATGCCTCTCTTGGAGAAGCAAAGATCAGCAAAGACAAGAGACCAACAAGCATGGCCCAACTAGCTCTACAGACAAGCCACGCTCTGCCTCCTTCATTGTCTGTTGAGTTCTATCTATAATCCCTCCAACCATCACATGTCCTCCACGGATCTTGCCTCATCATGTGAGTCTGTCTCACCTGACTTCACTCTGTCAATCAGCCTGAGTCTGTAGAAGCGCAAGAAGCTGCAGCACACCACCAGAAGTTTTCTGGTGTGGTTCTCTCTATGGAGTCCTGACAAATGGAGCTCAACTCTGCAATGTAATGCAGACCAATACATGGGAGTCATTAGCAACAGATCCTTCATCATGTGTCCTTTCATCTGTGTCTGCTTCAGTGAAACATTCATTTCCGAGTCTGCTTTACCCTTTCACCTGTGTCACTTCAGTGAAATGTTCCTTCATGTGTTTGCCCCAGCAAAACACCATCCGACACAACTGACTTTCCAAAGAACCCTTATGTTTCCACTTCACTGAAAGGCTGATTTAAGCTAAATAGTCACTCAAAGAGGTGCCTGAAGACTTGCCTTCTAGGTGATTCCAGGTCCTGTCAAGTTGACACTCAACCATAATCATCACAGATATCACATAAACCACACATTATCATATACTATACACACACACACACACACAAACACACTTGTCTTGAGGAATGGATCTTTTCATTTTCTGGATTGGGAAACTGAGTCCAGAGACATTTTCCACTTACCCAAGCTTACCAAGTACCCAACCAGAGAATTTTATAACCCAGAACTAGCTGCTAGGGTCTGAGGAGGACGGCAGCTGCCAGGACTGCACAAAAAGGAACCCAGGCCACTGTTCCTGAAAGGGCCCTAGGCGCGAGCAAATGCAGATGCACATATCTAGGCCTGGGCTGTCTCTTACAGAGAGACAGCCTTCTCTGTCACACCACTCCATCATCAGATGATTTTTTTTTTTAGTCACCTGTACCATGAGGCTAATCATTATGATCACTGTCCTTAATGCCACTAAGTAGCTTAGTTCCTTTTCTATTACTGAGAAGAGACACCATGACCAAGACAACTTATAGAAGAGTTTATTGGGTACTTACAATTTCAGAGGGTGAGTTGATGACCATCGTAGCAGGGATTGTGGCAGCAGGCAGGCAAGCAGGCATGGTGCTGAAGCAGTAGCTGAGAGGTTACATCCTGATACACAAATAGGAGGTAGAAAGGGAAAGCTAACTGGGAAAATGGCATGGGCTCTTGAAATCTCAAAGCCCACCCAGCAGGGACACACCTCCTCCAACAAAGCCATACCTCTAATCCTTCCCAAACAGTTCCACCAACTGAGGACTGAACATTCAAAGATAAAAGCCTATGGGGGGCATTCTCATTCAAATCACCAGCATAGTAGAACCAGCTACAGCCCATCCTGAGTAGAGTGCAGAAAAAGACCAGAGGAGTAGGCCTGGCAGAGCTATTATTTGTTTGGGCTCTGGTAGAGACACTAAGTGAGTGCTTGTAAATTATAAGGCACAGTTTATAAATTAAGACATAAAAATGGAAATGCAGATTACTTTGGTTTGATTCCAAGATCTTCAGCAGTTTGAGGGAAAAAAACTGTAATAGACAATCAGAGAGACACAATCTGTTTCCAGGAACTAGTAAGAGTTTGTAAAAATGTAAATGTCTTCATTCAGATGGACATTTGTCCCAGTAAGGCCTGGTGATATGAATGCTCAGTCCTGCAGTCTATGATATGGTAGGACTCCTGAAGTCTAACACTGTCTGTACTTTACATTACTGCACATGCTTCAGCTTCAGAACTGTGTTAATTCATGTCCCTGTACTCAACCACCAGTCAGCACTGACTGGGAGCTTACAAGAAGCTGGCAGGCAATGATAAAGTAAGACTAAGACAGACATGCTTCCTACCTCCATTGGAGACAGACATTGAATAAAAGAATGTAAAAATGGATATGCAAATAGAAGACAGGATATGAGGAGATCTAGCTCATAGGTGAAGGAGTCAAGGAGAAGAAGCAGAGGCCAAGGAAGAGGTAGTGCAGGCAGAAAGCACAGCATATGCAAAGGGCCAGGACTGAGAAGAGCAGAGTGCCTGTTCAAACCAGATATAGTGTGTTCAGAGATAAAGGATGGGGTGCCATGAGCACTTGAAGGTAGGAACAAACAAATCACACAGGACTCTGCAGGCCAAAGCAAGGAGCTCAACCGTCATTCCTAATGCCAGAAGGAGCCATCGAAGGACTTGAGTCAGAGAATTGGCATGACGTCGTATACTTCCAAATAGTTGATTCTGACTGACAAGCCAGCCCCGGAAAGTGATAAAGCTGGGCTGAATTTACAGCAGGAAAGAAGAAAAGTGGTGTAGTTTCAAGAGGCATCCTAAGGGAAGGGTTAGCAGCACCCTGTTTACTTCAGGTGGGAAGTCAAAGGGAGCCAAGGTTAGCTCTCAAGAGTTGGCTGGAGCCTGTGGGTGATGGATGGTGGCATCACTTCCTAAGACGACAATGTCTGAAGAAGAGGGCTTAGTGAGAGAGTGGTGAAAACAGTTCCGTGTCAGGGACATTGAGTTTTAAATGTCCAGGAGGCGTCCAAGTAGCACATTCTGAGTGGGTCTTTAGATGCCTGATCGCACTGGTTAGGAGTTTGGGAAGTAGCCTTCACATCCCCTTGTGAAGCTTCAGTTCTTTCTAAGTTCTCAGTGTGCATAAATGGGAGACATTTTAGATGTACATTAGAGAGAAGATATCTCTCAGATGTAGTCAGCCAGGAACAATGCATATTACAGAGAACAGTGGAGCTAAGAATACTGCAGTTGGGGATGTATTTTTAGATCACAAGTAATCTTCAAATCCTAAACTGACTATAATAAGTCTTTTGAGAATCTTAGAGACCTTCTCATACAGTTATTCTCCCTTCCCAACTTGCCGTCCACAGTCCACCCATAGCCCCACCTAAGTGTCCCCGCAGACCACAAGGCTTGGAAAGCTATCCCAACACCGAATGTTCTTGGCTCCCCAGCTTTCTGAAGCTTAGAGAGAAGTTGCCCATTCAGACTTCAGAGGCATTGAGTTTGAATGACCGACCACACTTTGATGCTTCCCCAGAATCATCCTCCCCACCACACACACACACACACACACACACACACACACACGCACACGCACACGCACACGCACACGCACACGCACTGAATTTGCCAATCCCAGTTCAACTACGTCACTCCAATCTGCCACTCTGTGTTTGGCTGCTGATCAAACACACACAGAAGCTATTTCTAGCTTCCCTCTACTGCTTTTTTCAAGAAACCCAGTGGGCCTCCCAGTTTGGAACCCACTTTGAGCTGCCCCTTGATTTCAATCAAGTCCAGAGGACTGCCT